TGTTAGAGTTTTAGTCAGGTTTACATAATTAGTTAGATGATTTCTGTCCTATGTAAAATATCGTATAGAATTTTCTCGTTGTATCCATCAATATTAATGATAAGAATGCCATTTTCTTTCAATAATATATATATATATATATATGCATGCATTATAAGATAAAATAATTTAGTATTTTGCACATCATAAACAGGTTGATTTTTTTGAATATTCAACTATATAGTATCATGTAAAATATTCTTCTACTGATAACATACTCGATGTAAGTGCATTTTTTTAATTTTTAATAGTGTTCCTCTACTATTGCTTTTGTCACTATTTACTATAGATTCTCATGAGAATCGAATCGATCGATCGATACACACAATTACTGATGAGATTTTCGAGTTGCTCCTACTAATACTAATGTTTTATTGGATAGCAGTTCTTCGTATACTATAACATAGTAATCATTACATGCTTCAGTGCACAATATTTTTGAGGAAAAAAAAAGAAGACGAGAAAGAATACATTTTGGCATAGAAAGATTGATTAGACAGCACATAATAAAAATAATACTAATAATAACAATGAGGAAGACAAAGATAGATTGATGACGTCTTTTAGATTATATATTTCGACATATATATAAAGCATGTGTTTAATAAGATCGAAAAAACAGAAATAGTGTCATTTATATAGAAATAATTGAGAAAAAAAAGTCAGTTGTCAATGCTAATTATATGCTAGACTTTATTGAATTGTAGAAAGTTGAATATTATAGATTATGTAAATATTTAGAAGAAAACTATGAAAACTTGGAATTACATCATTTATATATTCATATACAAGAAATAAAAATTTTGTTTTTATTTCTTGTATATGAATATTATACTATTGTCATTCTTGTCGTTTATATCTCCTTGATCATTAGTCAACATTCGTATTTTTGCTATTATCGGGTACTCTGTATTTGATTTCTTCTTTTTTCTTTTTAGTCAATAGGTTTTATCTTAGTTTTGATTTTGAAGAAAGTACTAGACTCTTGTTTGTTTCAGTCTCCGAGAAGATGAAGAACAACGAAGGCTTTTGTTCGGTCGCATCCGAACAATAACACGACCGCTCTCCTTTTTCCCTTGTTCTCAAAAATCTTTTGTGCTTTCACTATTAGCGGTGAGAGTATACAGTCACTAGCCTCTAATATTATAGAAATGATGATGGCGAGCTAGACAATTAATTTTGTTAATCTGCAGCATTCATAATCATATTACTGAGCGCCAACAGCGAAGAGAAAACGTTATGTTCTTCTTTTTTCTTCTCTCTCTCTCTCTCTCTTTCTCTTGTTTTTATGTGTATATTCGTTATGAAGAAAACAAGTATCATCATCATCACTATGCTTTATCATTACTTTGAAGTAAGCAACAGCTATGACGCAAAATATATATATATATACATATTATCATAGTAAGTGTCTATAAGGGGCCGCTGAATGATTTCCTGTTTTGATTGACAGAAAAAAAAATAAAAATTTTTAATTCCATGGATATTCGATTCCGTTTTTTCTTAATTTTATATCCGGTAAGTCTCTGTTTTATTTGAATATATCATTCATTCATATCCGGTTATAAAAAGAAAAACAAATGATAAATTTTATCCTTGATTATCAATATTAATCTACAAAATGTGAATAATAAAATCAAGAAGTGAGATGCAAGTGTAAAGATATATATATATATTTGAATAGGAGAAAAAAGATAATATTTTGTTTTTCCTTTAGGCATGTGAATCGAAAATAAGCTTCATTATTATTGGGTATTTTAAATTAAATGAAAATCTTAAGATTTACATAATCAAGTATTCAACAGATTGAATATAGAAAAATTTTGTAGATAAATACGTTAAAATGTTAATCACATTAAATAGCCAAGATTTTTAATAATCTGCTTCAAATAAAAATCAAGAAGACCTGATTAATTGAATTTATCGAAATTTTTATTTTTTTCCATATTCATATATATATAAGGAGTTCATGAGTATGACTAATAATGATAATAATAATTCTATTTGAATAGATAATATTTAATTTTGAAGATGATACAAAAATTAAAAATTTCTACTATGAAATTAGTTCCATTGAGCAAACAGATAAGATTTATACAGAAGAAAATCATTGATAGATGTGAATAGTATTTGAGATTTTAAAGAAAAATATCATTTTAACTGAATTTTTGTACTCATATAAATCTAATCCAAGTTGAAATATTACTAAAAATTAATCCAATCGTCCGAAGACTTTTTTTTTAATCAGAAAACTTTTTTTTGCATGTCGACAAATAGGTCATGTTATATATCAACATAATTTATTTAAACTTCACAGAGAAATAATGATATATTTACAGCTATTTTTATCATTTTTTTTTTTTTTATTCAAGCATCAAAAGATAAAAATCTATACTTATCACAAAGTTTTAGTTTTTTTTGTTTTTAATTAAAACATCTCTGATTCTGATATAACTTAGAAATATTTATATTGAATAAATTTAATAAATATGATTTGAATTATTCAAAATAACCTTTGATGACTTCTGAAAAGCATTTTATATGTAAATGGTAATAGAATATTATTTTCAATAAAATTAGAAACACATTGTTAGTTTTGATTCATCTGTAGTAAATAAAAGCAAACAAGAGACACAATAATTATTTTTAGTAGTAGATATGTCATGATGACAATTATTCTGTGTTTTTTTGTCATACAACTATTTCTGTTGCATATAGAAGTCGATCATTAAAATAGTTTCATCTAAATAGTTACCTTTTCTGTTACATAGGGAAATATTTGAACTAAGCAATTATTAATTCTAAATAGTACTCATGAATTTATTATAAATGAAAACCTGATATTAATATTTAATAGTAATTTTTATTCATATCATGTAATAAGCTTTCTGTAAGGACAAAAAAAAAAGAAACGTTGGATCTTGTTTTTTTTTATTGTTATTTTAGTTAAAAAAATTATTTTTATCTTTTTTTCCAATAAATATTTACTGTATGAAATAGATTGTGAAAAATTGTAATCTTAGATATTGAAAAACAGAACAATAATGATTGCTTTTAGTTTAATTAGTTTTTTCTTGTATACACAAAAACAAATTAGTTTTCAAGTAATTCTTTTTGTTTTTGGATATTTATATTTCATGAACAAGTAAGAAAATTTTAAATTGTGAATTTCTTTATAACATTCTAAATGAGATTATTTTTATGGAATAGAAATATATTGAGATAGTTCGAATATATAAACTAATATGTTGATTAAATAAATTTATATTTTTAGTTAGATTAGTTTTTTATATAAAAAGATTCGATTTGATATTATTAATTTAATTTATTTTGTATCCTTTGGATGATGATTATATGAGATACTAACTGAATGATCATGTTCTATTTAAAACAGACATGTGTAATAAATAAAACTTTCGATGATCGAATCATTTTTCGTTGTTTATGTTTTGTACTATAAGAAAGATTCATAATGTATTATAAGATAAAGCATTTTACTAAACAACATATTGACTATATTTTTAATAAGGAAAATTTTTCTTATTGAATAATAATAAATGGAAATTTCATTTTGAACTTAAAAATTTTCACAAATAGACAAGTTAAAGCTTCGTACTCTTAAAAATCGAATCTTTGACGATGTATATTCAAATCGCATGATCTCTTAAGAAAATATCGAAGCTGTAGTGGAGAATCGATGCTAAAATTTACAGCCCTATGTCACGATGTTCTCAAAAGATACTCATCAAACGAGGGTCAAAAATTGTTTATGTGACAATCCAAAAATCTTAATGCGTTCTCATTCTATATGTTTTTAATATTTTTCTTATTTGACAGTGCATATCGAACTATAGTGCATAACAAAGGCTTGTATTAAAATTCTGACTTCTGATGCGGAGAAAAAAAAAACAGGATTCCAAGTGTAATATCTTGAAAAACTCTTGCAAGGTAGTTGTCTATTTTTTAAAGTGCTTTTTCATATAATCATAAAAATGTTTAGTCCAAAGAAATGGATTCTGCAATTTCACATGTTCTTTCAAATAAAACAAAAAGTAATTGGTTACAACGAAGCTCCCTCGAGTATTTCGAGATGCACGATCAGAGAAATATAAACAAAGAAAAAATGGAAGAGATTTGCGTTTTTTTTAGCCGAGAGTGACAGAAACCATCGAAAATGTGTGAAAAAAAAGTCGATCTACCAAATAGAACATCCTATTGTTTGCGAAATGTTCATTCTCTAGTTATTCTCCCATGCATTTATCTTAATTCTGATAATTTTAACGGAAATGGACTTTTCCTATGGAGACACTTGAAATTATATTAGAAAAAACTAATATACCTGCTTTGATTTTACTAAAAATATTTGTATTCGTTGTTAATAGTTTTTTTTTAATTATATAATTTTTTTGTATTTGCTAATTAAATGAATCTAGAGGTGTGTTTCAATGTAGATAGTTACACCTTCTATTTGATTCATGCGTGAATTGCAATTTTGAATAGAGGTGCACATTCCATTAGTTCTATTCGAGAGTAAGGACAGACACCGTTTTACTTGAAAGATTACTAACATTCAATTAGTTTAAGTTTTGCCTCTTTATTCTGTTTTCTACAAGAATGTCATTCAAACCTATATTAATACTTTACGATACTAGTTTTATTTTGCCATATAATGCGAATTCAATTTGTTGCAAATAAAACCTTAGAAGTTTAGATTCTTGTTAACCTATATATTTTATCTAAAACTTTTTTTTCCTTAATTGAAAGCAACATGAAAAGAAATTTTTCCTGATATTTATAGTTTCTGTGGCATTTATTGATATTTAAAATAATATTAATTTGATGCTTTTTCTTACAAGGAAAACTACATTATAAAGTAATATCTGCAATTCTAATTTTAAAAAAATCTTTTTTTTTTTCAGATATGTTACTATTTTTATTATATCAATCAATTTTTATTATCCATGAATAATAATGTAATATTACCGACAACAGTTTTATCTGTTGATTATAATTTAACTTTAAAAACTACAAGTGCTACAACAATAGCAATATCAAATTCAATAAAAAATTGTAGTGTATCATTACAATATAAAGTTATTGAACATATTGTTTATTTGTATGTTATGTCTCCATTATGTCTTATGGGTCTTGTATTAAATGTTATTAATTTAATTATTTTTTCTGATCGTTCATTTAAAAATTTAACATTTAAATATTTACGTCTTATTGCATTTGTTGATTGTATAACATGTATACTTGTTTTTATTTATTGTGTAACAAATTATACTCGACCACGTACATTAAATGATAAATATTTTCGTATATGGTATTTAGTTAATGTTTATTTTCCATTAGCAAATATAACTGCAGCATGTAATGTTTTATTAACAATAACTGTAACTATTGAACGACTTGTTAGTGTACGTTGGCCAATGAAAAAACAACGTTTATTTAATTCTAATCGTATATTAATAACATTAATTATTTGTTTTTTATTTCCAATTATTGCTAATTCAATTAATTTTCTTGTTTATAAAGTTGGTGAATGTAATAATCTTACATTAACATCAATAGCACGAACTAAAGCATATGAATATTTTGGTATGTGTAAAGAAATTCTTTTACGTTTTATTCCCATATGTATTCTTATATGTTCAAATTGTCTATTATTATCAACTGTACATGCTGCTAATAAGAAATTTAGATCATATAGAAAACCATTACAAACAATAGCAAAATCACCAATAACAACAACAGTTTGTATTCAAACTGTAGCAAATGGTTGTGATACAACACCAATTAATAAATATCTATCTGAATCACAATCTCAAACAGATATACTTTTATCAAGATCATCATTTTCATGTGAATCAACAGTACCAAAAACTATGAAACAAAAACGACCATCATTTCCAATAAGATTATTTCATAAATTACATTCAAGAAAACAACAACAAGAACGACAATTAACAATAATGCTTGTTTGGATATCAACACTTTATTTATGTGGACAAATTCCAATGTTATTTGCTTATCCAAATTTTCTTTTTAAAGATACAAATCTATCATCATATAAATATTATGCAGTTGTTGTTAATTTACTTGAATTAACAACATATTTTGCAAATTTTTTTATTTATATACGATTTACATCACAATTTCAACAAGTATTTCGTATAAAAGTTAAACATACATTTTTTTGTTTTATAAAAAATCAATAAGAATTAATACTGATAAGTTTATTCTTGTTCTTGTATATTGTTTTCCTATCTCTTCGGCTTTCACATGTTATTCTTATTTTGAAGCATTGAATTTGAAAGGAATAAAATATTTGAGTTTCTTTTGTCTTTTCTATGCTTATCAACTTAATGTTGACATATGAACAATTGAAAACTTTTTTTTTCTTTGAAAATAATATCTGTACAAGTGATAATGCAAAAAGTCTTAGTGTAACCATAATAAAGCATTATACATATATACAAAAGTAAGAAGAGAAATAGTAGGAACTTCAATCTTATAAAATCTTTCTGTTTGAAGTTTGTCATTTATCTCTCGATATAGAATAGGTCAAAAGTAAAGGAACAATTATTTAGATGAAGTACATTTCAATATTAACTTATTATAAAAGTATGTTAGAAAATGTACGAATGTTTCGTAGTACATATACATATAACTTCACGAGAACTTCAATGTTTTTCAGTGCTCTGATGTTATTATCTGCTTGTTTGTTTATATGAAAATTCTTTGAATGAATCAAATTTACTCGGCATTTTTTATTTAAGAAAAAAATTTCAATCAAATAGTAAGACAATGATAATATGCATTTTTATCGTATGAAAGATAAATATTAGATCGAACAATTTATTTATAGAGAAAACATTCCAAAAAATAATTATTTTCTTACTTTTAGTCCATTCTCTATATGTTTATAAATGATGTAAACAATCATTCTGTTCTACAGATGTAGTCGAAGATCGACGAAAACATTCTTAAATATTGAATAAGATTAGACAATGTCATGATGTAAATTTTAATGAGATCTAAGCAAAAACAAATATTAATAAACTATTATTAGAGGAAATTAATAGATGGAGAAAAAAAATCAAGTATAACGGATTTCATCTACTATTGAAAATGCTTTAAGGCAATATTTAAAGCTATTTATTGAACAATGAAATAATTGGTTAAATATTTTGATGAATACACTATCAGCTGAATATCTCCTATGCCAAAATAATAATTATTATATAGTAGACAATTTCGAACAATAGATGAAAAAAATATATATAGATATAATAGATATATATACTGAAAGAATGTCGTAATGAAGCGAAGAAATACTCAACAAATGAAATTTTTACCAAATATTGATTATTTGTTCATTCAATTCAAATGAAAGAAGAAATCATTACGGATGCAAAAGATATTGTTCTTTCAGTGAAACAAATTACAATACATTGTGAAAAAAAAAATAATATTAAGACAAGATTCTGAATAGAGGTTGACAAGTTCAGTTCTAATGGATAATCGAAAAGTTCTCCATCAATATCTATAATCAAATTTTGTAATGTATTGACATTGTTTTCAATCTTTTTGAAATACTGTTAAGTATTTTATCACATTTTTGTGCATTAAAATTTTTTCATATATTAATAATTTTTTGTTTGATATATTCATATTTACTTATATGTTGTCGAATGATACTTTACAAGTTTTCTATTGATCATCAATCATAAGAGAATAAATTAAAAACAGTAAACTTCATAAAATAGAACTGTCAATATGAAGTGTGAGAAAAACTACAAACACAAAGCAGCAAATATGATGAATATTATTTCATTAAAATGATAAGTTGAATGAAAAAATATCTGTGAGGAAAAAAAAACATATAACTATTATAGAAAAGAATTTTCAGATAGCTCAGTTTCGGAAGATGAACTGCCGGAAAAAATTAATCCCTATGTTGAAACATTTCTTCTGACAGGTTTCTGATCTGTTCAAACAGATCTTTCGGTTATTTGATCTGAACTTTGAATTGGGAAACTAATTGTCCTCTAATTCTGAATTCGATGTATCTTTATCAGATGTTCATTTTATTACTAAATGATTTAGAATTATTAAGTCACACGGCCGAAATCTCATAATCTCAATTGCACTTATGCATCGATATCGTCATTGTAGTTAATCTATCTAACTTTCGAGATGTATATCATTTTTTTCTAACTTCTTCACTCATTCTCCGATGGGTCGGTAAGTAAATATTACCATCTTCAATTTGATGAAATGTAGATAACTTCTTTTATAAATATTCAATTTTGAAAATCTTTATAAATGAAAAACTGTTCAGGCAAATCTCTACATATGATGAATTCTAACATAGTAAGTCATTGTTCTGGTCACACTGTTCATCCAATCATAGTGATAGTATAGGAAATCATCTATTGGCAATACTCGTATGTCAGCTATGTTGATAAAACTATGAAGAAGACAAGCAAAAAATTTCTTCAAGAAGGCATACAAGGACTGAATAAAGATAAGATAGAAGCCTTTCTGATAAATTTTAGTATTCGCATTTCATAGAGTTCTATCTCTATGAAACTTTTGACGAGCAATAATCATATCAATTTAAGCTAGTACTTCCACATCCAGTTAGCATGGTGCTTAACAAATCGATCGGACATCTGATTTCTTACTAGTTTATAATAGACGTGATTTCTACCAGAAAGTCAACAGTCATCGAGAAAAACTATACTTTCATATGTCTGGCAAGACTTTGATTACGAGTATACAATGAGGCAGGAATGCATATGGCGGTCAAAAATAGTACTGAGTTGAGTGCATTTATTGACAAAGATATTGGCTTAATGGAAAACTATATGCAACATCTGGTATTAGCTCTGCGAAAATTATCAAAACACAACATATAAAGTTATCAAAACATTCTTGATATGATATTTGACCCATATATTGTCGTTGTGGATATAGTCAGAAGCAAGATGCCTATCAAGTATTTGTTGATGGATTTGACTCGCAGACATACATAGAAAGTTCCTATTTATGTATTAATAGTTGTTCATGCAATCTATCAATCAACTTTACCTATTGCTTGTATAAGTTACAATGTTTCTGAATTAAATTCTATTGGTTGATATAATGAATTTAGTGAATATTGGCAAAATTCAGAAGCAAATATGAATGAAATATCAACTATAGATATAGTAAATTTTACTCCTACAACATCCAGCACTTTTTCAAATCATCTCTATTGAATGAAGTTTTAATTTAAATGGTTTATAAGATAATTTGCTTAAAACCATGGAATATTTTACTATAAACTTCAGTGTCGGTATCGAGAAATTTTTTTTCTCACGATCCCGATTTCACATATCTTTAGTCACAACAGCATAACAATTCGATAAGTACCACTACGACTTTATATCTCTTTGTACTGTTAAGATTATAATAGTAGAGATTAACATGTACTTTCTTGTGTAAGCATGATAGAAAATCAATATGCCAACTATTTAAGAAACTATTTATTTGAAAAAGTAAACGAAAATCATTCTATTCCTTTTCTCCTTCTGACAGTAATACATTAGTTAATGTTATAAAGAAAGAAATACATCAGTTGGTATACAAACTCACAAAATTTAACTCCTTTTGAAATCATGAATAGAGATGTAAGTCATTCGGCTAAGCCGTCGATGGTCGCAAAATTTCAGGATATATTAGCCATGCCGCAACTATGACAACACAAAAATAGATGTTTTATTTTTAAAAAATTCCGACATCTCAAATCAGTTTTTGATGATGCTATCATCGATTTATCTATTTCAGGATAGAAGATATTAGAAAAGTTATCAGTTGCCTAGTGAACTAATCTCATTAAGAACTTTGCAGAACTAAACAATTCTATTAATGAATAGTAGTCATCAGATGGAGATTGTTCGGGTCGAAAAATACATTGACACCTGGAAAGCGTTCTTCATCACACCATCTAACCGTATGTGCAAAAAGAGCATGGATTCTCTCTCTTGTTATACTTCTAGAAGAAGTTTTTTAAATGGAACTCAACCTTTTGTAGCAAAACTCTACATTTCTGCAAAGGTTTGAGGAAGATTTGAGTCCTCTCTAGAGTCCACAATTTTTAGATTGAGTCAAATCGTACTTTGATATAGATAATTCTTTGATGTATATTTTATTAGATTTGTACAAGTGTAAAACCGAACTTTAAAAATATTTCAACAAATTTTCACTTATTCTTTGTTCATTAGTACTTGTGATATTTGCTTTTTATAAGTCAGTTTATCTAATTTTATTGCTTGATTCTCTATTAATATTAAAACACAGAAAAAGAGGACGATTATAATAATTTTGTTCGAAGCTTTTTTCGTTCCTAGCTTATTAACAAATAAATGATTTTCAAACTTTCTTAATTTCTCAATGTTCATCTATAGAAAAAGAAAACTTGTTGCATAAAATCAATACAGAATATTCAAAAAGAACCAAAGAAAAAGAAAAAAGGAAAACATTTCAACAATCAAGAAAATCCGATGCAACAAGTAATTCGAGTACCACTTGAATATCAATCGGAAATTCCGGAATATCAATTGATGAACTAAAAAAAGATAAAGAGAAAAAAATAAATAAATATTAATAAAATATTCGAAAAATAAAACTAAAAAATTTTACTTTGTATATTTTGCTTTATAAGCAAAATAACGACAAACATTGATAAGTACGTGAGATGGTATATCTTTCAGATAAATTTCATTGGGTTGGGATTCAGAATATTGTCCTGGTCCACTAAGCATGTTTTTAATTGTTGGTGATGCACTTATTGCAAAATCACGTCGTACAACAAATTCATGTCCATCCGATGATATTAATTTTAAATACATTGATTCAGGTCCTTCTAATCCACCATAAATATTTGGTGGTGTAACTGATGATGATGTAGCACCTGCGGTTTCCATGGCCATGTAATTAATAAAGTATTAACAAAGAGAATCTATAGAGAAAATAAAAAGAAATTTTTAAATTTCAAAAGAATTTTTGTATTCAATAATCAACTGTTTTGTACATTTAACCTTTACCAATACTAAAACAAATGCAATATTCTTCCTCTTGAATTCACTAATTCTTCAGTTAAAAAAAAAAAGAATCAAAGACAAAATGAATATATTAAATGTATAATATTTATTTGAATTGTCGAGAAAAGAAAAAGAAAAAAGAAAAAAGAAAAATCTCCAGAGGGAGAAAAAGAGCGCGCACAGAACAGTCATGAGAGAAATAGACATCCACACGCACACACACACTTGACAAGAATCTTCTGCGGTTATACACGAAAAAAAAAAAAACAAACGAAAGGATAGATAGCATTTTGTGACAAAGAGAAAAAAAAGAAACCGCACAAGTATCTATAAGGTAAATACGAACGAGAATCACTGTTCTAGTAGTTAGTTATTAATGTATAATTTAAAATATGCTGAGAAAAAAAAAAGAAAACGAAAGGACTAAAAACACAAACACAAACACACTATTCAGACGCGCGAAAAAAAAAAAAAAAAAAAAGATAAAGACAAATAATTGCGAGAAAAAAATTTTGCCTAAAAAAACAATCAGCAGCAGCGACTAGAATTTGACTGAGATTTAATTGTTTTTTTAAATAATATTTTTCTGCTTATCTATGTCTGTTATTGAAATATTATGCACGCGTACATTCCATAAAAATCTCTATTCTACTTCTTCTGTTTTCTTTTTTTTTTTTTTTTGTTATGATATGTATACATTAATAGAAAGAAAGAAAGAGAGAAAAAAAAGAAGTGGAGAGACGCGTACGTTACCAATGTGTTCTATGCAAAATGTAATGACTAGAATGTTTTGTTTTTTTCTGGAGATAAATATATATATACATATATATGTTTATCTCAGACCAGCTGAGAAAAAGAAAAAAAAAAAAAAAAGAAAAATTTCAACATTTTGAATCCTCATCTCCATCAGGAAAATAAACACTTGGTTCTGTATTTCGACGTTTGAACTTAGATTTACGTTTTCGAAGCATTGTTGCCTAAAATAATAAAATAGAATAAAAGAAAAAAATTTTAAATTTAACTTGATTTTAATACTCTAAGTGCTGATCGTATTATAGTTATGTCACAGGGAGGTTGAAGCCATGGTTCACCATCAACTTGAACGGGTACGGGATAATCATTATTCATACGAATATGAACCTAAAATTTTTCATATATTGATAATAGTTAAGAAAAAAAAAAGCTAAATCTTACATGTCCACCCTGGGCAAGACGAACAGCAGAACGAATACCCGATTGAATTTGACCAAGATGTACAATACCGGTTACACCAACTACTTCTAACATTCCATCATAATGTGTTGGTCGACTAAATTTATCATCTTTTTCATGTCCCCATAAATTTGCACCACTTGCCCAACTACAATAACGAAATCATTTTTCATGTATTTTGTTTTTCTTTACATAAAAATTATATTGATTAAGAATTTATTTATCTTAATAATATCAATAGTAAACACTACGGAACTAAAATAACTTCGTAGTATATTATTATAACTAAAGTTTTGTGGATAGATTCCCTCGGATTCAATATTTTCAAACGTAGATCCAAGAAACTCTACTTACGGAGTCAAATTTTTGAAGCCATTATGACTGCATCTTTAGTATTACGAACCAGGAAGTAACTCTGAACAAATTACTAACAATTATTTGTCGTAGATCACTAATCTGACAGGGTACTGACGACATGGTGACATACACCTACTCTTGCAGCTAGTTATTGTGTAAAGGAAATTTAAGTAATTGAACGCAAGAACTCTAGGTCAGACTAATCTTCTGTTCAAAACTACAGACACTCATAATTGTTGAGCTATCGAGTGTATCACTCAACAACCGTACCATAGGATAGTTGAAAGGCATGAATATTCTTCGAAGGTTTTTCGTTGCGAAACTCGACTTCGACTCTGAAAATTTGTTTTGAGTAGGATTTATGAACAAAATCATTCGTTAGTGATGTGACTTAGCAAAACTAAATGCATGTATACGTAGTTATATTAGACGCCCCAAGACAAAAATACGTAGTACATTCTGTAAAGAATTCGATAGGTTAAAATACTTCTATATAAAGTTCTTTTTGAATATGTTTAGATTTTCCAAACAAAAAAAAAATGCTCTTGTCACCAAATAAAAAGTTCAAAACATCACGAATTCTTTTTCGGAATCTTTAAATATAACAGAAAATTTTGAATGAAATCAATAAAACAAGATAACTCTTGCAAGTCAAATGAAAGATCAATATATCTCGTATATGTCTCAAATGATCCATATACATTTCTTTTTATGTCACTGATAGTTTTTTTTCTTGCAATCTATGAATCTAGGACACTTCTAGAAAAACATCGATAAGTTCCGCCTTTGCAATAGAAAAGTTTTCTTGTAAATCTAATCATACGAAAATTTTCCAGTATGGGTCTTATATAGTTTCATAAGTTTTGTTTAATAGAATTTTCGAAAAGTTCAAATATAATCAATGATTTGAAAATTAGATGTATTAATTTTTCCTTTTCGATATCTCTCGAACAATATGAACTGATTTATTTTTACCTTAATATATTCATAATAATAATGCCTTCAAGTGATGGTAAATCAACACGTTTTCCATCCACTTCAAGTACAATATCTTTTGTAAAATCTTTTAAACCACCTTTTTTCATCATTTTTCTTAAACCGGTTTTAAGATAATAACCTTTTGCTTGTATTCTTAAATAAAATTAAGCAAAGAAAAAGAAGTTAATCAAATAAGCAAAGATAAAATAAAATTAATCATACCGGCTATTAAATTTATTTGGATTTTCTTCTCTTGCCATATGAAAATCCAAACAAATATCAGCATCAAGACCAAGTCCAAAATAATTATTCATAACAAACATTTCAGTTTTATCTTCACTTGTTGAACCTTCTTGTAAAACAATCTAAATAAATAAAAGAATTTATTTATTTATTTATTTAGAATCATTATAATTTATTTTTGTTTTTCTGTTTCACTCAAATATTAAGAATATGAGACTTCAAATTTTCACAAAAAACTCAACTAAACCAGTCTCTATAAAAAAAAGAAAAGAAATATTCACGAGTTTTGAATAAACTCTCTGAATCCTTTTCTATCGACACTGTATTACAACATAAAGATTCATATTTTCGAAAATATTTTTGTTTAAAACTTATGAATTTTGTATATGAAAGCTAATCTAGTTATGATAATGTTTCAGATCACAATTTGATAATTGTAAACAAATAAATCATTCAAATTGAAAGAGTACGTTCTATTGTTAGTTTTCAATTCTCAATTAAACATGTACAGAATTGAAGTTTTTCATAATCGGTCTAATCCTGATAGTAATCATAGTGAATCTCTCATATGTTTCTAATTCCACATATGTATGTAACATTTACTGAAAAAAAAAATAGTAAAGAAAAATTTGATTTTAGTATTTCTTACAAATGAAAATAAAGAGATAAATCTCTAAGAATGATGAAGAAATGCAATCAAATTATGACAAACATAAATTTTAGTGTTCATAATAATGAAATTTGTTTATTTATTATGGTTTCTTTTTTTGTTGTATTACAAGATATATAATATAGGAAAAGTCACAATATTAACCATATCATACAGTCTCTAGTTTCGATCTTAGTAAATTTTTATTTTTTGATTCTACACATATCTATCTTTGACTGAGAATATCGAAAATGAATCTAAGATTATTATTAATTTATAAAAAAATTAAAGATTAATAAACAAAAAAAAAATTGACAAACCGGTAAAGCTACAGCTGGTGGATGAAATATTCGTATTTTATTTTTTTTATCTTCTACATTTGTTGTTCTTGAACTAGCTGTAGTTGTTGTTGGTGGTGGTGATTTACTACTATTTATATCTGATGTTGTTGTTGTTTGTATACGTTTATCTTGATCTTGATGAAAAACAACTGTCCAACGATCTAATTTAATTTCTTCAGCTTCAACAATATCCCTGAGCAATGCTAATGGTTCTTCACCACCTGTATAACCTGAACCCCAACGAAGAACACGTGCTAAATCATTTCCTGTACCAAGTGGTACAATACCAACAGGAGGTGATTGACATAAAGCATCTTGTCCAACATTATCTAAACAACTAAGTACCCAACCAACAGTACCATCACCACCACATGCTAATATACGATAATGTTTAATATTTCGAAAAACATATAGACCAGGTAATGGTCCACCATTTTGTAAATCAAATACTTGATGTGGATTAAGTAAATGACGAAAATTTGTTATTAATTCAGCTCCTTGTTGTCCACCTGATTTAACATTAACAAAAACAAGTAATGGACATATATTTGATGGTATAGTTTGTGATTGAATATTTGGTAACATTAATACTAATAATTGTTTTTGATCATGATATGCTTGTCGTAATATTGAATATGCACGTGTTGCACGATCACTATCATTATAAACTAATACCATTGCTCCATGTTCATAATAAATAACTTCCATATTATCCCATTTTAAATCTTTATTAGATTTAAATATATCTTGAAAAAGTATTTTTTCATATTGTTTTTCTGTACGTGGGCCTGGTGGTAAATTACCAACAAATAAAGATACAGATGGTCCATGTGGATCATCTTTATGTTGTAAATAAAAACGTGTTACACGATGACTACGAACAGATTCCTATTTTAGAAAAAAAATATGATAAAATTATATATATATTTTTTTTTATTATTTACTTTTCTCTGTTGTCGTAAAACATTTAAAGGATATTCATTTGGTTCTAATATTCGATCTGTATAATTAACATTTGATATAAGTAATACTTCGACCAGCGAATATTTTTCAGCATTTACATTTGTTAAACCAAAATCTGATAAAGCTTTAGCAATAACTTCAGTTGTTGTACTTGATGATGTTACTTTAATAACTTTAAAACAATCATGAGTTCTATAAAATACAAAAAAATAATAATAAATTTAAAAATTTATTTTTTTTTTTTATTGTACTTAAGTATGCCGGGATAAACTCGAACATAATCACAATCCATATCACCTCGTTCTTTATATCGAATAAATATATTAAGTTTACGACGACTTAATTGTTTTAAGGATTTTAATGGCATTGTTTCATCAAGTGGTTGATCACCACCAACTAAAATAACAAAAAAAAACGAAAAAGTTTTTTTTTTTTTTTATTTTGATTATTTTCATACAATCATCTGTAGGTACAGTTATACAATATTTTGTGCTATCATCATTGATATGGAATGTGCGGAGAGCAGCCTCCTACAAAAAACAAACCAATGAAATCAACATGTATTTTAAATTATTAATTAAAGAAATGATATACCAGAATTTGGGTATAAGTTGCTTGTCTAGATACGGATATAGAACGTGGAGTACCATTACGAAAAGTTGCATTACCATCATAAACTCGAATTATTTCTAAACAAAATTTTTTTGAATAAATTCTTTTAGCATAGACATAACATATTGATACTTTCGACTTATAATAATCTACGTAAGATTTTAAATTTTTCATTCGATTTTATGTTGTCCAAAAAAATTTACTATTTAATTTTGAATATCAGAATATGCATAAAATGAAAGTTCATGTCCTTTTTTTTTTGTACTACATCGTTATTATATTGATAAATCTTTTAAATAAATGTCTATAGTGATGACTTTCTTTTTTTCAAGATATTTAAACCAATTGAAAAATTCAAATCGATTTGAATAGATCGAATGACTAATACAATATTGTGAAAGTTTTAGTCGAAAAGAATATTCCTTTGTCAAGATATTGAATTTCCAAAAAAAATCTCTGTTTGTTTTGATGCAACGGTCATAACTCAACTACAGAGATTCATGAGCATAAACTCTTTTAGGTTTTTTTTTGTTTTAATAATCTTTACCTCGTTCTTCTTCTTCATCTTGTTGTCCTTTACTAGGTGGTTTTTCTCGTTTTGGTCTACTTGATACAGTTTCCATTCCAACATCAGCATCTCCACCTGATTGATGTTCTGTTGATGAACATCTCACTAGAACAAAAAAAAACAATAATTTAAAATTTAATAATAAAAATACATATATATATCAATATAAAGAAGAAGAAGAAGAAGAAGAAAAACCAAGATCAGAAACCACTGGGTCCATGCAGGCAAAAGAAACGTGCTAAAATATTTGATTATTTTTTAATATAATTGCTACCCCTATGAATAGATCGTTGTAATTTTAATTGATTTGATGTTGGAGGTTTTTTTCTTAGTAAAACAGATGATGATTGTCGTTGTATACGTCGAACAAAATTTGAACGACTTGGTTTTTCCTCTTTTATTATATTATTGAAATTATGTTGTACTGCTACAAAGAAGTATATATCAACGATGAAAAATATGTTCTATATATATATATATATTTGTGTCCAATGGGTAGGCAAAAATTCAACAATAATAATAGAACAATATCAATATTTATTTTACTTACTAATAGGTAAACCACTATTTTTTTCTGATATTGCATTTATTATATAATCAGGACCTGTAGGAACATTATTATTTGATTGTGAAGTTATATTTTGCATGGGTTTAGACATATTATTTCCAATACCCAATATAAGATCTTTATTAAGATCAGCTATACGTGGAATTGATATAGCATATGGTGGAATAATAATATCTCTTAGAGTACCAAAACCACATTCTTCTGGTACACGTGAACGACAAGTACTATGAGTCTTAAGAAGAACAAAAACAAAAAGTGATTTTTTTTTTGTTCTAAAAAAAATTTCTAGATTTTCTTACTGTTATTCCACACCATTCACATCTCATACCAGCAAGACATTCACTTGACCAACAAGTTTTTCGACAAATTGCACATTTAGAATTCGTTGGTAAATTTCCTTCACGCCAATGATGATGATGTCGAACTGAGGTTGTTGACTAACAAAACAAAAAAAAATTAAGATAAAAAAAAAAAAAAGGTATTTTAAGAATCATTTAATTTACATTATCTCTTGTTGGTGCATATGTAGCTGTTTCACGACAATCATTAACAGCAAAATCTTTACAATCTTCATGTGCATAATAATCACAAACTAAAAAAATATTAACATATATTATTAAGAATAAATCAAATTATTTATTAGTAATTTAGTTAGCAAAATTTAAGAAATTTTTTTTTTCAAACAACTTTTACCTGATTGAATTTTTAAAAAAAATTTTCTGAATATAATACAATACATATATATTATCGATAGCTATATATATATAGAGAGAGAGTGATAAACATACCTTCACATCGTACAGCTGAAATATCTTCAAGTCGTTTTCGACATATATTGCAAAATTTACGTTTAAACCGGGATATATCCGACCATATGTGGCACACGGGATTCTAAAAAGAAATTGTAAATATCATATAGAATTGAATGTACAAGATCTTTTTTTTAGACATTAATATGAATAGTTCAGAGTAAAAATAAATCAATTTTGATAGAAGATCTGAATGTGTCAAATATGATCAAAATGATTGAAAATTTATATAAAAATACATTCTTAGATCTTTTCGGAATTCGATAAAGTGAATCGAAACATTTCATTTCGTTCGAACAAATAAAAGTATTTTCAAAAATTGGTTTTGAAGGTCGTAATTTTTCAAACATTCTCAAATGTCACATCGCTTTTGAGTTCAGACTCTATGCATAAGGTAGACACCGTGAGGTATGAAAAACCCCAGAAGAATAAGTGCCCTTAGACCTTCTGTCTAGAGATATAGACATTTTACTGGAACTTTAGCCTTTGGCATTGTATATATCGACAAATAGAATGACGGTATTTCGACCTGAGATTTTGCCTACAGATAGATCTATTTGTGAGTAGAATACCCTGAAAATTTCAGCTCAAACGAATGTTTTATTTCTGAGATATTAAAGTCCCAAAAAACAGTAAATTCTAGCATCTTTCGTGAGATATGATTGATTTTTAGGACTTTAATATCTCAGAAATAAAACATTCGTTTGAGCTGAAATTTTCAGGGTATTCTACTTACAAATAGATCTATCTGTAGGCAAAATCTCAGGTCGAAATACCGTCATTCTATTTGTCGATATATACCATGCCAAAGGCTAAAGTTCCAGTAAAATGTCTATAACTCTAGACAGAAGGCCTAAGGGCACTTATTCTTCTGGGGTTTTTCATACCTCACTGGTGTCTACCTTAGGCATAGAGTCTGAACTCAAAAGCGATGTGACATTTGAGAATGTTCCCTCCAAAGTAGTTTTTTTTATTAAACTTTTTCGATCTAGCAGAAACAAATCAAAAGACTTAAAACTTTCATAATAAACTACTCTCATTAAAGCTTGTCTCTGTACAAAGTTTCTAATTGAAATATCAATCTTTCTGACTAGAATCACAACATTCAGTTTCAACTTATTTTCAAGATAATAATTTGTTCTATCAATTTATGTCATGTGAACAAATTTAAATGTTCAAGTTACAGTGTTGAAAAATTAAAAGTGTCGTGTTTCTTTTTGAAGACTCTGTAGTATGTTTTATCATCTCTGTTATATCTAACTTTCGAATGATACTAATACTATTAGTATATATTATCATCATATAAAACTACAGCAGTGTAAAAAAAAAAATAGTCTCCCATTCATTCGTATGTCGACTACTAAATAGGTGCTCGAGATCGAAGACATAAGTTTACTTCGATTGTTTAAATGAAAAAAGAAAAAAATTGATACCTTAAACTTATAAGTAAACTCTTTCGATTCGTAAATTTTCATGAAAGAACTTTCTACTAAATACAATCTTTTTTTTTCAAGGTTTCAACATGTTTATTAATCGAAAAAAAAAACGAAATTTATATACATTTCAAATCAATAACGAATAATAAATTTACTTTGATTAGTATAGGTGCAATGCTTGAGCATGGCGAAATGACATGTTTTCGACAACGATCATGACAAATAAAATTGCATACTTAACAAAAAAAAAAAAGAAATATGATTTTTTGTTTGATAATATTTACCTTCGCAATAATATCCTTGTCCAATAAGACCCCATAACATTTCGACACAATGATGACAATATGTTGGTTTATGAAATGTTTTTTTAACAAAAAAATGTCCATTATTTTCATATGATTGTTGATGTGTATTTGTTGAATCAGTATTTAATGAAAGTGATGATGATGGTTTAGTCATTGTTGTTATATTTGTTCCATCACAAAATGACAAATCGTCGTTATCACCGGCAAGTGTTGATGAATGATACCAAGGAGATGTCGACGAACTCATCATCGTTTGTAGATGGTGTGTCGAAGTGCATACAGATGGTGATGATGGTACTTTATTTAGGAGAATAGGTGTATTATTATTGTTATTATTATTATTATTATTATTATTATTATTGTTATTGTTATAATGAAAATATAAATATTTTAATTTTTGATGATGATTTTGTTGTTTTTGTTGATTTTGGCCAGTATTGGCCATTAAAATAGACGACGTCGTCGACGCATCGTCGATCTTAAAGATATTTGAATATTGTTAAGTATACGAAATGAAATTATTTGTATAATCATTTTCTTATTGTTCTATTAATCGTTATATGTTTATTTGTTTATGTTGAGTTTTCTTCTTTTTTTTTTTTTTTGTTTCTCAATCCGAACTCATACATGCACCGACATCAGTAATAGCCATGATGAATCTAAAGAGAATGTGAAACTCCACTCAAGATGTTACTCTCGACTCTCACGTTCGTTTCTAAAATGAGAAATTAAAATAGAAAATTTTAATAAAAAAAATAAAGAAAAATTATTTAAAAGATTTTTTTTTTATAAATAAATATAATTAATTAAAGAAGATTTTGATTTGTTTATAGATGTCGCTGAGAAATATTTTTCTTTTTTTCAATTAAATTTTATTTTATAGGTAATGAACAATTACCAATATGATTTTTCTTTAATAATTTGACAAATAAATATATTTTTCATATTTTAATCAAATTATTCGTTTTAATTGTTTTGATTGAAATTTCATGTAGAATCAATGGAGTATAGATAAATTTTGATTAAGTTTTTTGAAATTTTTACTATAATTAATATATTTATACATAAGGAAATGGTTGATTTTTATGTGAATTTTCTGCAAATTGAAAATGTTTTATGAATTTTATCAGAAATAGAAAATTATTTTCATTAATGATTATTACAGAGTACTTACTTAGATATAGATGAATGAGTCTATTGCGTATATTTATCTGATGGATGTAGCAAATATGTTTTTTCTTCGTTTATACAATTTCTCGCTAACCATCTGAGTATTACTTTGGTAAAGATATATGTATATATATTCTTTGTTCTATGATGATATTAATTTTTCTATTAATTTTGACTAATTGACTAATAATCAGATTTTTATTTTTCTAGACATTTGATTTTGTATTTCAAGGTTAAAAAGAAGTAAACAAAATGATTATAAGAAATGCTACTGTAAGCAAGATTTATTTTCATTTGATTTAAATTTAAAAAATATTTTTTTTTGTTTTTTTGTATAGCCTGAAGATTTAATAAATATGCAAAATTGTAATTTACTTTGTTTACCTGAAAATTATCAATTGAAATATTATTTTTATCATGGTCTATCATGGCCACAATTATCTTATGTTGCAGAAGATGATAATGGAAAAATTGTTGGTTATGTTTTAGCAAAAATGTAAACGATTCTTTATTTATTTTTTTAACATATATCTTATTTTCATCAAACATAACTTCATAGGGAAGATGATAGTGACGATGCAATACCACATGGACATATAACTTCTTTGGTAAAAATTTTTTTTTTTACTAATTAATTTTAGTTTTCAGTTGATTTTTTTAGGCTGTTCGTCGAACACATCGTCGTCTTGGTTTAGCCCAAAAATTAATGGAACAAGCAAGTCGAGCAATGGTAGAAAATTTCAATGCTAAATATGTTTCATTACATGTACGTGTTAGTAATCGAGCAGCATTACATCTTTATCAAGATGCACTTAGTTTTTCGTATGTTATTTATTTAAAAAAAAAATAAGAATGAAACCAAAAATCATAATGATTTATTTCTATTAGAATTCATGATCGTGATCCACGTTATTATGCTGATGGTGAAGATGCTTATTCAATGCGACGCGAACTTGCCCCGATGACAAAAGTATGTCTAAAGAAAATAATAACAATAACATAGTGTTATTCTTGCTTTCTAGACATAACAATCAATCAATTAAACAATTGACGTGGAATTATTGTTGTTTTTACGATGTTTTTCTGCTAATCATATTTATAAAGATGTGTCAGACAAAGTTGAGATTTAGGCAAAATTTAATATAGTTTTAAAGTTATTTAATTATAAATATATTTAAAATAGATAACAAGAAACAAGTGTTCGTAATTTTTTATATTAAATTTATATTGCTTTGTTCTTTTCTTACTTTCATTTTGTGATGAATTAGCTATATGACAATGTTATAGTTAATGAGAAGATATATAGATATAACGAGTGCATTTGTTAAAATTGTAAAGTTCATCAGTGTTTGAGCCAAAAGAAATGAAAGAACATTCGAGCAAATATTTTAATCTAATTGTTTTTTCCTAGAAGAGAATCGATTTTCTGGAGAGTGTACCATCCACAATGGCTAAATGTGATGGCTTTAAAGTTATTATTAATTTTATTACTAACCTTTTTTTTTTATCAATGTTGATATTTCCAGAAATTTTACCTGGAAACATAGATGATATTTCAAATACAGATCAATTATCGTGTTAATTTTTATTGAAATAAAAGTTTCATTCGAAAAACAACGAAGACTTTTTAATCGTAAACATTCTTACGCAATGTAGATCGGAAAAAAAACCGCCAGTAGATTATCGTTCGGTGTATCAGCACTATCCGTCAGTTGTAAGAAAAAAAAAGCGTCGATATACCAATAATAGTTCGCCAATCAGCAATCTACTGCCGATATACTGACGGTAGTGTAAACAAGTGCGCAGCATGATTTTATTTCGTAAAATAATAATTGTCTTCTTTTTGGATTCAATATTCAAAAAATTAATATATTGATTAAGTTGTTGATGAAAGTAATTTTGAACATCACTTTCCAATGTCAATAGAGACATCATTGTTGTGTACATACTGCAGTCTTAACAGAATTTTATTCAGTGTGAGGACTGAGGAAACAGCATCGTAAAGTATTAAATCGTCCGTTCCGGTAGAAAAAGTTCGATAAAACATAGAGTATGAATAAATTGAAAACGAATACTAGGCTTCATTTCATTAAATGAAGTAAGTACATGTTATGCCATTTTAATGGTAGAAAAAATAAATTATGTTGTATACTTAAGATTATTTAACGACAAAATTTGCCTAAGATATGTAAATCAAAATTTAGGCAACTACTACACAATGAACAAAACCGATGTCTAAGTCGAGCCATTTTCCTTTGATCTATTCACAGAAACAATGATATGACTGATAACGATGCATATATTTGTTGTTAATGATCATAAACTCGGCAATATCATAAAAAGTATCTAATGAAATATTTAAAAAAAAATCACCAAGACCAATAGATGGAGTATTGCTGAACAGAAATCAATAAATCATCATTCGCGAATTAATTTTCGAGATGTAGTCACTTGTTGGAATGTAGTTAATATATTCTTTCGACTGTTCATAGTCGAAATTATTTAACGAAAAAAAGATAGTACTAATATTGTAAGAAAAGAAGACAAAATATTGATCAATTGAACTTTTATTTTCGATAATTTTTTGCTCTTTCTTTTTTTATCATATATCATTAAAACAAACAAAGTCTTTTGAAAAAAAGAGTGCTTTTAAGACATTAATTGTAACTGAAAAAGCGATCCTAATTGACTATGAAAGATTTTGATACAGAAAAAAATTATTCATAAGCTAAGAATAGTTGTATTCTTACAAAAGTCTGCTTAATAATGAAAGACACATAGGAATTTCGATAATTCTATATTAATATACTTCTTATGAAGTAGATATTTCACATTTTTAATTTATGTTAAAACTCATAATTCTTATAAATGAATCTTGTTGACAAATACAACGATAAATAATTCAACCAGTAGAATCCTATTTAATATTTTGTTAATATTTTCTATAACAATTAATTATTCATAATTGTTTTAAAGAATGTTTTATTCATTATATCTGTTAGAAATTACCATTGAAAGAATCAAAGCTCAATGGAAGTAACAAAGTAGTATCATGTATTAGCAAAGATTAGCATTTTAAAATGAACTAATAGTATAAAGAAATTTTTTCAAAATATTTTGGTCACATGAAAATTGATTCAATTTTTTCTATTAAATGAAATTGTGATATAGAGGACAATACGACTTATAATGTAGATCAGTCGCTGACTTTATCCTTTGGCAGATTATTCTATTTGAATTGTGTTCATTTCTTAAAAATTACAGGTAGAACAGAACACACTTCCTAAAGATAGGATGAATTAGGTGTTTGACTTACATTATAGAATTATAGATTGTATCGAATGTCAACATTTACGCTCGACTATAGATTCAAATTTTTCACTTTTTATTTCTCATTATTTATTGCATCTAATAACAATCTAATGACATTAAACAAGACCAACTAGTTAATTTTCCTTTGACTATATTTTTCACTTCTGAAAAACACTAATATAGTTTACAGTATGATAGCCAGATCTCCTGAAAAGTCGGGAAAGTTCTAATTTTTCAGTACTTGACAGGAATAGAATAATTGTATGTAGTTTACTTTTCTTCAGTTCACTTTTTCCTGTCAATATATTTGCTAGCTATCGATTTTTGTTATTTGCAGAAGGTGAGTCCTTGTCGAAGAACTTTTTATTAACGATGCAACGGATTTAATTTGTCATAGTACTCTTACATTGTCTTGTATCCTACACCTAGTACCTTATAAGACTCGAGTCTTTTTTCAATGGCTCCGAAGAAGAAGAGTTTTCCAGAGGGACATTTTATTAGGAAGAGTTATATTAGATCTGACGAATTTGCAACACATTGATCATTTTTCTACTGCAAATTTTACTCGATCCATAGTTCTGCGGCATAGTACGAGAATGAGGAAAAGATTCACATCTCACTCTATTTTTTTCCTAATATAAGACGAAATCGACTTCCGGGAGGCCGTGCTTTACCTGGTACTCACGTTAGGTAAAACACCGGTTTATGCTTATTACTTGTTTTACAACTAGTTGCTTATGAATGTTTATACTTCCTTGAATCATTACTTGATATCTAGATAAAATTTGAAGTATAGAGAAATTATCGTGTAAAATTTCATTAAGCTAAAGTTTTAACCAGAAAAGATCATCGGTAGGTGAATTAGCATACTGTGCAATATACAAACGATATTCGCCAGTAATAACAAATAATTGCCGTTAGTTTAATATGAAAACAGTCAGTGTCTACTGAACACCATTCTAT